ATTCCTGCCTTTAAACTATTTGACCATTGTATGAAAACAATTCTGGTTCAACTCACATTAGCATCTATATTAAAGATTTTGGGGGAAAGATATATATGGTTAAAAAATCCAAATAGCATTTTTAAAAGCTATTGACATAATGCTCTTGTACAGATGTAACATAGCATGATTTACTCTAAAATAAGCACGATTTACTTTAAAATAAGCAATCTGTAGATGTACAAAGGCCAATTTCTGCCCTGTTCTCTAACCTCAAGGACAGCAGAAGGCTATATACTGCTGCTGGTACTAGCTACTCAGAATAGGGACCCAAAAGGGGTAATATGCATATAGCTCCACATGTTATACTATATCACCAGAAGTAGACTTCTTCTTTCCAAAAATCAACATTCTGCATGCGTGCTGCACGTTTGGTTAGCCTGTTTCCATATTCCTCTCACTGAACCATATTCTAACTAGCTTTTATCTGGGAGTAGAAACTGAAAACTGATAATAGTTAAGATGACCACATTTAATCAAAATGTCTAAAGTTTAATTAATTTGGTTGCATTGGTAAACTTTAGACATTTTGATTAAATGTGGTCATCTTAACTATTATCAGTTTTCAGTTTATACTGTCCGTTGACCTCTCAGATAAAAGCTAGTCAAGACAATTACAGTGAGGAAATCAGAATTACACATATCCTTATGCGCCAGTTCTGCCATCAGTGTGTACTTTCGCCTCACTACTGTGTTGCCATCTAATTAGTAACTTCCTGGTTTTCAACAAACCCTAGCTTGGTATTACATCTGAACTAGTAAAGTGTGGTTTGTACCTGTAATCCAAATTAGTTATTCCCTGGTTTGTAGGCAGCATACATGGAAGGGAGGGAGCATGGATCTCCCACCCACAACCTTGTTCACAAGGTGGAATATCTTGCTCTGATGTCACATCCAAATCAAGTTAATGAGCTGAAGATGCTAAGTATGGTTCACACGAAAGCAATACACAGGAATGATGGATGCAACTTGCTTAGGCTGCACATGTGATAAATAAGAGTCAGTCACTGGTGCAACCACAAGAAGGAATTTATAGGAGCTTTCTGCTGGAATGAAATGTGTTTGCAAGGCTGAGTATCTTCAAGAAGGGAAGTTTTTAAAAAATGCATCCTGTATGCAAACTGATTTACTTGATAGTGCATACACACTGCAGAAATTGACCTTTGGCTTACCCCTGGCATATATTCCATGAATATAGAGAGTGTTCTTTCTGGGGGGTCCCTCAAGCAGCCATAATACTGAACAATCCTCTCGTGCAGTAGGTTTTTCAACAGCTGAATCTCACATTCAAGTGCATTTACCTCCTGAAAAGCAAGAGTACAGTAAAATGTACGGGAATTTAGTAGACCAAATGTTATACAAACTTCAGAAATGATTCAGCCCATAAATTAACATTTAAATGCTTAATTCCACTTGTACCTGAAATACAGTAGAAGAATCTCAAAGAAGCTACAGAGGTGCCCATTAAGTTGCTCAGTATTATGTATATCTAGGAATAAGGCTCGTTGTGGAAATAAATACAACCAGCTCTAGAAAGAGGCTCTGGGAGAGTGCCAAGGCCTTGGGCACCCAGCGTCAATGTGCTGGGGCGACCTCATCAGGGTATAATGACATAGAGTCCACCATTTTCTCCAGAGGAACTGACCTCTGCAGTTGTAATTTTGAGTGATCTCCAGCCCTCACCTGGAGATTGGCAACAATTGTTACCCAGGAGGAAATGGCTGGTTTGGAGGGTGGAGGCTATGACATTGTTTCTGTCTGAGGTTCCACCCCTCCTCAAAAACCTCACCCTCTCCAGGCTCCACCCCTCAAATCACCATAAATTTCCCAACCGGGAGTTGGCAACCCTATCCCCTTCCCAGCCATCAACCTGCCATTATCTGCACCTCTGATTTCAGCTTTCCATCTCCTCCCCCCTCCCTCCTAGAGATCAGTTGTAATTCTGAGTGATTTCCACTCCTCTCCTGGGATTGGCAACAGTGGTTCCCCAGGAGGGAATGGCTGGTTGGGAGGGTGGAGTCTATGGCATTGTACCAGTCTGAGGTCCCACCCCTCCTCAAACCTCACCCTCTCCAGGTGCCATCCCTCAAATATCCAGGAATTTCCCACCTGCAGTTGGCAACCCTATCTCCTTCCCAGCCAATCATCAAACTACCTTTATTTCCCCCTCACTCTTCAGCTTTCCATTTCTCCCGACATAGACCTGCAGCCGCTTCCGTGCTCTGAAGCCCTGATTGCCACAGAGTCCATCATTTTCCGTGCTCTGAAGCCCTGACTGCCACAGAGACCACCATTTTTTCCAGGAGAATTGATCTCTGCCATCTAGAGAACAGTTGTAATTCTGAGTGATCTCCAGCGGTTCTCTGAAGCACTGACTGCTATGTCTAGGGTAGCCAACCTCCAGGTGGAGCCTGAAGATCACCAGATACCACAACTGAACTCCAGACAACAGATCTCCCCCCCCCCCGGAAAAAATAACTGCTTTGGAAGGTGGGCTGTATGGCATTCTGTTCAGTTGAGGCCTCTCCCCTCCCCAAACCCTGGCTTCCATAGACTCTACCAAAAAATCTCCAGGAATCTCCCTACCTGGAGCTGGCAACTCTAGTCAGGACTGGCCCCAAAGAGTTCCTCAAAGGCCTGCAAAGGGTCTCCTTTCTTTGTCTGAACCAAGCTTGGTTGCCTACTGTGGTGAAACGGGCACCAGTTTACAACTCAGCTGTTTGCCTCCAACCCTCATCTCATGGGCGTATCTCACTCCTTAAATTCGCTGCCACCACTCACGGAATCGTCACTGCCTTTTTAGAGGGACAGTGAGACCCCTCAGGCCAAATCTCCGTATTTGGAGATCTCCGTATTTGGAGATGGAATCCCCAATCTTTGGGGGATCCCTGGAAAGTTGGCAACCCAAGAGTCTGGCCCTTCGTTGCTCCCCTGGGCTACCCTCTCCCTTTGGTACTGCGCAGAGCAGGGGAGACTATGTGGTCAGAGCACAACACAGATTATTAAGGTAAAGGTAAAGGTTCCCTTGCTTGAAAGCCAGTTGAATCCGACTCTAGGGTTGCAGTGCTCATCTCCATTTCAAAGCCGAAGAGCCAGCGCTGTCCGAAACCCTACACACAATACTCTCTACCTCTGGAGGTTGTGGGCTCAGGATAGGATCTTTCCTTGGACCGGCCTCTGGCTCTACTTCAGCCTCTTTCTCTTGCCCAAGACAGCAGGGAAACTTCCATTCATTACCGAGTCCAGCCCACTGTGGAGTGGCTGAATTTCTGCTGCCTCCCAGGGTCGAAGACTGCCTCCTCCCTGGATGGGCTGCAGTCTATATTGATGCCGCCCTGCCTGTTGGGACAGTCCCTATTTTCCTGCACTTTTTGGCCTTGGGGCAGCTGGGAACTGTAGTCCAGCAGATGAGGAAGCCCCATTCAACCCAGTGAATGATACCCCTGCAGGCCCCTCTCTGGAACTACAGCTCAATTAAACCTTATGGGGGAACATTTTAAACAAAGAACCACAGCCATCTTACAAACACAGGCAACTGCCATTTTGTGACACCTACCAACAGCCACTGAGGGAAAAGTTAGTCCCACACAGGAGGCAAGCAGGAAAAGTGTCTTCGTCAAGAGAGAAAGCCGTTTGCCGATAATTCTGACAGGGCACAGTGGCTGAAGGGGGAGTGGGCGGGGAAGAGGAGCAGACCCAGCACCCGGCCAATGGCACACGAGTACTCTTGAGTGGCAGCTGAAAGGCTGATGGTTGAGGGAGTGCATGGAATGTGGCCACTCCAAAGCAGAATTATATATAAGGAGAGATTTGGCATTTATACACCATCTTTCTACCCAACTCAGGGTTCCAAGGCAGCAAACATTTCAAACATTAAAACATCAAGCATAAAATATTTTAAAAAATAAAACATAAAACACATAAACACTAAGGCAAACAAACAGGGAGGAGGGAAAGGCTAATAATAAGAGTTAGTGAGAGAATGCCAAACAAAACAAAAAACTACCCGCTAGTGGAAGACAATAGAGAGCTAGACAACTCTCCTTGGGGAGGGAGTTCCAAAGTTTCAGCACTGCAACTGAGAAGGCTCCTTTTCTCAGTTTGCCATCCATTTAGTCTCAGATACTGAGGACACCCAAAGCAGGGCCTCTGAAGATGATGGAGTGCTCAGGAATATTCATATGAGAGTAGGCAGACCTTAAACTATGCTGACCCCAAGCTGTATAGGCCTTTAAAGGACAATACAGCACCCTGACTTAGCCCCCAAAGCAAACTGGGAGCCAACATAGATTATTTATTTATTTATTTTATTCAATTTGTACCTCGGCCTCCCCGCAACGCGGGCTCAGGGTGGCTTACAGAGAGGCATGCGCCACAGCAGAGCCAGTTTACAAGGACAATAACAACAACAAAAAGGTAGCCACTGGATTGCATCCTAAGATTCCATCCTGCTAACTAACAGTGGAAGGATCTTCCATTAGTGGAATGGGCTCACAGGTTCCAACCAAGTTTTCTAAGACACATAATACTCTGGAAGTGATGAGGGAATCTACAGATTCGATGGTAGATAACAGATCACCACAATCATTTCCATTTGCCAGTTCTCATTGTGCCAGTGAAAGAAGACAGACAAGATCATAGTGCACTGCTTTCATTATTTAGTGTGTAGAGATAAGAGTCTACAACATTCACATTCTATACTGTATGGTTTTATTTTCTACTGAACCACTAAGCTTTGCTTTACCAACATTAATATACACTGAAGATGAAATCAGCCGCTTACATGTGATTTAATGGAAATGATTAAAATGTACAGATGTGCACACAGATCTGTCAGTTAAGAACAAGCATTTCTTGTTAAGTCAGAGAACTGACTGCTTTAGAGGCAATGCATTTCTGAGTCGCCTTCTCCCAGTTCTCTTACCTTGCTGGTCTCTGGGCTATCAGGATCAAATTGAACTTGTTTCACAGCTAGTTCTCGTCCTGTATCTGCATCATAGCACAAATAAACTCTGCCAAATGCACCTTGGCCCAGTAGCTTACCAAGTCTCCAATTTGTTGGTGCTCTTGGGGCTGAAAGTAGAAAGGGTCTTACATATTCAGTTGTTCAAAGAAAAAGGATCAGAAGACAGACCCTTCAGAACTTTTTCTTAATCTAAGCAGCACAGACCTATTAAATCATTACATTTTATAATCTAAGGTTTGAGTATTTACTTCTTTCCAAAAGTTTACCTAGGGCCAAACTAATCTAAACTAGCTATGTATTTGTAGTGCTTACTAATGAAACTCCTACATAGTACTGCTTATTAAAGAAGCTAAAAATCAAAAGGATCCGATTTATCCGGCTTGTAGACCAAACTACAAGTTACAAATTACAAACTTATCTTTAAACACCCAGTAAATATCAAGTATAGCACTGCCATTAATGCATGAACTAATAATGACTCCTGGAACTGATCCATGCTGCTAAGGACAGAAAATTATATATGTCATTACTTTAAACTGAGTAGCCACATAACAAGCCTGGAACTAACAAGTATTTATAACACCACTATATTCACTTAGGGAATATAACTCAGGATGCCGCTGGTGGTGGAAAATCCACAAAATATGTTTCATTTACACAAAGGGAAAGGAGCAAGGTTGGATCCAAACCAATAAGTATAACATTTTTCCTTACAGCGACTGGGAGGACTGATATCCATTACAGTCAGGGTGGGATTGTCTATGTCACTTCCTCTTCTTCGCATCCGGCCATCCTCATATTCTGGAGTGAAAACACTGCTCCCGCTGCTTGTGCTCAATGAGTGATCAGTTGGGCTGAAACTAACTGGGGATCGTAGACTGTTTCCCTGGGTCCTTCTAGCTCTTGGAAAAGTTTTACGACCTGCAGAGAGGAATAAGAAAACCGCACACTTCACTGCATTTTCCAGGGGGAAGCAAGCAAAACATAGGTTCCAAAATAGATCTGATGTCATCCCGCAGGCCTCAATAGTAAACACAACTGAGCAACATGTGGAGTATTAATAACCCCAAAGATAATTCCAGGGGGCCCTGGTCAGTTTTGGGGCCCATGAAGTTTGCTAGGTGATGTGATTGATTGGGATCTGGTCGATGTGAGGTAGTAGCTGTGATGGACAGGCAGAAGTCCTGCCCCTTTAAGTCAGTCACCAGACCCCATATGCCTGTTTGGTACATGGGCAGAGCAGATAACAAGCAATCAGGGCTCATGGATAGCCAAGGAAGTCCAATGGGAAGGGGAGTGACAGAAAAAGCTGCTACACTGTCAGCTCAAATCAGATAGGGTTTGTGTCTCCAGCATCAATTGAGAGAAAACCTGTCTCAGGAGATTATATAGGCCTCAAAGTCTGTTTTGAGTGCAAGCAGGCTAAGCCAGTCAATGTTTGGAGACAGAGTTTGCGCTTGCAGAGGGGTAGGCTAAAAATTTACTCTCAGGAGACTTGGGAAGTCTCAGAGCCTGTCTTTTATGATAAAGCAGGCTAGCATAGTGAATGCTTGAGGAAGAGACTGTAGCTGTCAAACTCCAATTTCTGAGGGAAACTAAAGAAAGGTCAGTGGTTTTTCTAAGAAGAGCTCACAGTTACACTGTGAGAATCCTGAGCCTGTTGGAAGGCCAATATTCACATCAAGATTGCAAGCTTGGCTGTAAACTGTTCTGTGTACCCAAGAGTTAACATGAAATGGTAATAACTCAATGAGTCCAGCAAAAGCTGTTTATTATCTATAGTTTTAAGCATCCTTACTGAACCTCTTTATTTCTCCTAACTGTTACTGTTTCCCCCCTGATGTCGTATATGTAATAACTGCATTTAGAGAAGAAGAAGAGACTGGGTTTATACCTCGCCCTTCACTACCCAAAGGAGTCTCAGAGCGGCTTACAAACTCCTTTCCCTTCCCCTCCCTGCAACAGGCACCCTGTGAGGCAGGTGGGGCCGAGAGAGCTCTTGACAGAGACTGCTCTTTTTCAAGGACAGGTCTTGTCAGAACTATGGCTTGCCCAAGGTCATCCAGCAGTTGCAAGTGGAGGAGTGGGGAATCAAACCCGGTTCTCCCAGATTATAGAGTCTTAACCTCCCGCAACAGGCACCCTGTGAGGCAGGTGGGGCCGAGAGAGCTCTTGACAGAGACTGCTCTTTTTCAAGGACAGCTCTTGTCAGAACTATGGCTTGCCCAAGGTCATCCAGCAGTTGCAAGTGGAGGAGTGGGGAATCAAACCCGGTTCTCCCAGATTAAAGTCCACACACTTAACCACTACACCAACTGGCTCTTCAAGAGAAGAGATTGGATTTATACCCCGCCCTTCACTACCCAAAGGAGTCTCAGAGCCGCTTACAAACTCCTTTCCCTTCCCCTCCCCACAACAGAGACAGAGGGAGGAAGTTTATTTTCATTTGTGGGTTTTACTGAATAGTTTTTTTTAACTATTATCGTACGCAGTTCTGAACCACAAAGCAAGGAGGTATATAACTATTTTAATGAATAAATAATGTCACCCTTCACAGTGGCCGAGATGGAATCTCTGTCTCGGGACCCAAAGACTTTTTTGGCATCCCTAAATGCACCAAATTCTGGCTTTTAAAACTGAACACAGTTAACGCTCAGTCAATAAGCAAGTAATAGACTAGCTTACGGCACCCTGACTTAATAGCATGGATGTAGAGTCATCCATATACTATTCATCTCTCAATTCTACCCCTGCCAAAAATATGATAGGGATACATAGTAAGTATGATAATAAGAGTGCACAGCATGCACAATAGTTGTACTTTGGAAGACAATTTAGTACTACATATATTTAAATAATACTCCAGATTCTGTTTCATTCATTAAACTTGGACACATGTATAAAGTGATTCAGAAGAGTTACTTCTGGTGAATAATCTGACAATACAATCCTAATTGGAGTTTACTCCAGTGGACTAAGACTTCTTAAGATTGCACTGTACAGTGATAACAGTTTTCTTCAGATATCATAACAGCAAAATCCTCAAACAATCAACTGGTGCATGTGAATCACATTTCAAGATTAGGGGATCTGCAGCCCAATATCACAACCACGATGGTGTGATCACTGACCTCGAGCCAGACATCCTGAAGTGTGAAGTCAAATGGGTCTTAGAAAGCATTGTTAACGACAAAGCTAGCGGAGGTGGTGGTATCCCAGCTGAGCTATCCAAAGTCTTAAAAGATGATGCTGTTAAAGTGCTGCACTCAATATGCCAGCAAATTTGGAAAGTGCGACAGTATACATTCCAATCCCAAAGAAGGGCAATGCCAAGGAATGTTCAAACTATCGCACAATTGCACACATTTCACAGGCTAGCAGCAAGGTCATGCTCAAGATCATAGAAGCTAGGCTACAGCAGGACATGGATAGAGAACTGCCAGAAGTACAAGCTGGGTTTCAAATAGGTAGAGGAACAAGAGATCAAATTGCCAACATTCGCTGGATTATGGAAAAAGCTAGGGAGTACAAGAAAACCATCTACTTTCGCTTCATTGACTTTGCTAAAGCCTTTGATTGTGTGGATCACAACAAACTGTGGCAAGTCCTTAAAGAGATGGGAGTACCAGACCACCTCACATCTCCTGAGAAACCTGTATAAGGGTCAAGAAGCGACAGTTAGATACGGATATGGAACAACTGATTGGTTTCGCATAGGAAAGGGAGTACGACAAGGATGTATATTGTCACTCCACTTATTTAATTTATATGCAGGGTACATCATGCCAAATGCTGGCCTGGATGAATCACAAGCCAGAATTAAGATTGCCGGGGAAAATATCAACAACCTCAGATATGCAGACGACACCACACTAATGGTAGAAAGTAAAGAGGACCTTAAGAGTCTCTTGCTGATGGTCAAAGAGGAGAGCACAAAAGCTGGCTTGAAACTCAACAGCCAAAAAACTAAGATCATGGCCCCATCACTCCTGGGCAGATAAGAAGGGGAAGTCGTGGAAGCAGTGACAGAATTCACATTCCTGGGATCCAAGATCACTGCAGACAGTGACTGCAGCCATGAAATTAAAAGACGCCTGCTCCTTGGGAGGAATGCGATGGCGAACCTAAACAGCATGATAAAAAGTAGAGACATCACCCTGCCAACAAAAGTCCGTATGGTCAAAGCAATGGTATTCCCAGTAGTCATGTATGGCTGCGAGAGTTGGACCATAAGGAAGGCCGAGCGCCGAAGAATAGATGCTTTTGAATTACAGTAGTGGAGAAGACTCTTAAGAGTCCCTTGGACTGCAAGAAGATCAAATCAGTCAATCCTAAAAGTAATCAGATAATGCCAGATAATGAAACTGAAGCTCAAATACTTTGGCCACCAAATGAGAAGGGAGCCCTCACTACTGAAGAAGACCCTGATGCTGGGAAAGACTGAAGGTCAAAGGAGAAGGGGACGGCAAAGGATGAGATGGTTACACAATGCAATGAACACGAAATTAAGCAAATTCCGGAGGACAGCGGAAGACAGGAGGGCCTGGCATGATGTGGTTCATTGGGTCGCGAACCACAACAACAACCAAATATAATGCAAGTCATTTGAAAATAAATCTCATCAATTATTTTTTTTAAATTCCAAGTACAGAAGTACCATTTTAATTTAAATATTTTAATATGGTTGTTAAATTGTACAGTTTGCCCGTTTGGTGTAGTCGTTAAGTGCACAGACTCTTATCTGGGAGAACCGGGTTTGATTCCCCACTCCTCCACTTGCAGCTGCTGGATGACCTTGAGCAAGCCGTAGTTCTGATAAGAGCTGTCCTTGAAAAAAAGAGCAGTTTCTGTCAGAGCTCTCTCAGCCCCACCTACCTCACAGGGTGTCTGTTGCGGGGAGGGGAAGGGAAAGGAGTTTGTCAGCCGCTCTGAGACTCCAAGTGATGGGTGGGGTATAAAGCCAATCTCTTCTCTTCTTCTTCTACAATCCCTAATGGTTTTGATTAGGGATGGGCATGAACCGGGAAAATTGAGATTTGTCCCCGTTTCTGGTTCATGAGGTACCATGAACCTGCCTTGCTTCGCAAACCAGTTTGGGTTCCTGGGGTGCATGAATCTTCCCTCCCTCCTTTCTGCTGACAGCAGCTCTCCAAGGCCAGCAGAATGGGGACGACGACTTCCAAACCCCATTTAAGGTGAACTTTCCCATTAAATGGGTTTTGACAGGCCAAGTGGCAAATTCCCACTCCCAGGAGGCGCCCACTGTCAAACCCCATTTAAAGGGAATGCTTGGAAGTAGGGGGGAGCGAAAGGGATTGTTGAAATGGCTTGCATCTATTTTTGATCATTGCACATTCACCAATAGTGTTACGAAGCCTGCAACTCACCGTCATTGTAGTCTTGGTGATGGTATGAAATATGATACCTTCGAGGGTAAGTTCCACCTTTTCCAAACTTCTCAAATATTGGGAGATCATAGTCTGAAAGGGACCAATAATGTTATCATGGTTTTTTCATTCAGCAATTTAACAAGAACAAAAAAACCCAGAGAGAATTAGTCAAGACTTCAAAAAGTTTCACATGTACTTTTGATTTATATTATGACACTAGAAAAAGTAAAATCTTATCAGAAAAAGAAACAATATAGAATACATTTAAAGTCATGACTCAGTCAATGTTCTCTCTATAATTAATTATATATTATTCCAAAGTAAAGGAACCAAAGCTATTTATACCAATAACGTTCTCTGTTTGATAAAGTCAATAAAAGATTTTTTGGGGAAATGCCAGCTTCTTTCTCCCTTTCCTTTCTGTTCCTCTCTAGCTGTAACTTCTGCCAATTATCCAGTTTTTAGCAGGAAGGAAGGGGAGCAAAAGAACACCACTTTGATGCAATCAACCCCCCCATTATTAATGAGATTTGAACCAGTCTATGGCTCCCCCCCGTCACAGAAGTGTCCAGCCAGCCAAGAAGTGCACATCAGGATATATGCAAGGCAACAATTTGTTAAAAGTCCGATAGTACAGATAACGTCTTTCCAGACATCTCGTCTACTGGCCAGCATTCTAAAAGAAGATAAGCTCAATGTTTGCAGGCTGCACAAGTATAGAGGACCCACTGAATTATTTGTCAGCCTGCCAGTTATACAAGCTGCACAGTTAGAACAGACTTGAGGTAATATTTACAGTTAAAAATTTACTTTACCTGCTTAGTCCCAGATCAAATTTAACTGGGACACACATACTATTAAGACAGGTCTAACAATAACAGCACATCTCTAATTGGGACTTATAAATGCATTTTTAATCTTAGGGATAAGGATACAATTTTTAAAGTGCTAACTAATTACTTTTAATGGCACAGGGTGTATTTCTTTAATTCTGTACATCTCTCACTATAACTCGAGACCAAGAGAAACAGAAACACTGTATGTTAAATTTCTTACACACATTCAAGTTACCAAAACAACGTTTTAACTACAGGTTTCAAAAACTGTGCCCATGCCCGTTTATTTTACCTACCTGATAATTCTTGGTGGTTATCTGGATAGCTCTGTGCTCTTGGCATTCGGGATTTGGGACAGTTGTCTCTAGAAAGACAAACAAGGTTGGCGTATTAGACCCTTTCATAATGAGCTATCTCATATATTTTGTGGGCTAACAGCTTTAAAGAATGTAAGAAAAAGCTATGCAAACTACTAGTGGTCCTTACCCATCTAAAGGGCTGTCGAGAGAGGGGCAGCTCCCAGAGCCAGAGTTTTCAGGACTACTCAACGATAATGGGTCCAACATCTGGAAGAGAAGTACAACAGACTGAGCAACAGGGTGCTTCAGCCAAACTGTGCAATGCCTCTATCACTCAAATGTTAAGAGAAGACACAAGACAAACACTATATGGATAGGTATTCTTAAATGGAGAGAGCTACTACAGAAATCCCAGAATAGGGTGTTAAAAGCATCCACTGACACAAGATATGACACAGTCTTATCTTCATTTTTCTTTGGGGGCAATCAGTGAAGCAAAGTATGATATTCCACATGGTAAATGAATAAACCATTTGATTCAAAATGCCATGTGACATTTTACAGCATGAACAAACAGGTTTCATCACACAAGATCAGTGATCCCCAACAAGAGATGCCCCAACAAGAGAGGCCATACATAGATATTTTGATAAATAAGAGTAGTGTTTGTCACCTACCAGTCTGTTACCTGGCTCCCACTTGCAGCCCCCCTTCTGATCCCGTCTACATCTCCTTTTGTATCCCTTTTCAAGTCATCTTCTTCACTGTGCCTTGCTTTTCCCCACTCACACTCCCTACTTTTCTGCTCTTTTTTTGTCATCGGCCCCGGTCACATGGGAGGATTTGCCCCGCAAGAGGGATGGACTGGGGGCACATCAAGTGGACGCGATCACACCGCAACATCTGGGAAGCGTCACGCACCCGTTCCCAATCCGTCCCTTTGGCCCGAAAACACGCATTTAAAAGGTACTAGCAACAGAGCACTACCTTCCGGATGATGTGCGGCAACTCCAGGCGTCTGGTCAGGGAAGCACTGGTAGCCCATCGCAGCCAGCGCCGTTCCCCATCCCACGCATGTGCACACCCGTGCTACTGCCGGTTTGCTGCACAACGTGTGATCGGCTGCCGGAGCACGGAGCCGTGGGGGCACATCGGATCGCGCTCCCACGGTTCTTTTTGCTCTGGATCTAATTTGCCTCAAAAGGCTGGGTCGCTCAGGCTGAGCCAGTTGAAACTAAATCCAGCGAAGATGGAGGTCCTGTGCTTGAGTTGGATCGGTTTGGGGTTGGGGATCCCTCTCCTGACCTTCGATGGGGCACCTTTGGTGCCAGCATTAGAGGATAGGAGTTTGGGAGTGCTCCTGGATCTCTCCTTAACTATGGAGGGCCAGGTGGCAGCCACTGCCAAGTCGGCCTTTTACCATCTTAGGCTGGTTCGGCAGTTGGTTCCCTTCCTCGACCGCGATGACCTGGCTACAGTGATCCATGCGACGGTCACCTCGAGGCTAGACTACTGTAACACTCTCTACATGGGGCTGCCTTTGTTGCAGCTCCGGAAGCTGCAGCTGGTGCAAAATGTGGCGGCCAAGCTGTTGATGGGTCTCCCCAAGTGGGAGCACATCCAGCCTGGGCTGAAAGCACGACACTGGCTGCCAATAGCATACCAGATCAGTTTCAAAGTGCTGGTGCTTACCTTTAAAGTCCTATATGGCCAGGGTCCGACATACCTGAGGGACCATGTTTCCCCACATAGACCCCTAAGAGTACTTTGGTCTGGGACACAACATCGCCTGGTGATTCCAGGCCCCAGGGAGGCAAGGCTTGCTGTGATGAGGGCCAGGTCCTTCTCAGTGGTGGCTCCTACCTGGTGGAATGAGCTCCCGGAGGAGATCAGGGCCCTGCGGGACCTAGTACAGTTCCGCAGGGCCGGCAAGACGGAG